TTTTCCTGAAAATTGTAAATTATTGTGTTTGATTGGTATAATTTTCCACGTGGAAAATGTTGAAGTAAAAGTGTTTTTTGTGTTCGTTTGACTTTATTTTACATGAAATTTGTCGATTTAAAGGATATCCACTTTTACCATTGTTCCTAAAATTTGTTTCCATTGCCAACCAATAAAAAAAAAGGAAAGAAAACGATCAAAAAATCATCTATATTTTAGTGTTCGTTTGGCTTTATTTTACATGAAAATTGTCAATTTCAGGGATATCCCCTTTTACAATTGTTTTTAAAATTTGTTCCCATTACCAACAATAAAAAAAAACAAAAAGCCAAAAGCCAAAAAAAAAGGTGGAAAACCAAAAACCACCGACCACTAGGAAAATAAAAGGTGGAAAATCACGCTTTAAGGTGTTGTACCTAGAAATTCATGGAAAATCAATTTCCTGAAAAATTTTGTCAATCAAACAGGCCAAAAGTGGAAGTTGGAATTCGAGTTCCAAGTTCCATGAAAAATTTCGTGCAATCAAACGGGGCCTAAAATTCAAAAACAGTTTTGAAATTAAGCTTCTACTTTTAAACATATTTGGATAATTTTTAAGAAGTGCATAAATAGAATAACTTTTATAGAAAGTTGATTTAGGGCTTGTTTGAGCCATATTTTTTTTTTCTTTCAAAAATGAAGAATGTGTAATTAAAAATTAAAGAAAAAATTTGGGTTTATGTGTAATATTATTTTATTGAAAAATATGTGATTGAAATGAGATTAAATCACCGTTGAAAAATGTATTTTGATAGCAAAAATGAGGGCTCAAACAAGTGTCTAATGTAACTTTAGCAGAAAGTGCTTCTAAAGAAACAGAAGCAAAAGTGGAAGTCATACCAAACGGACCATTCACCTAAACTACTAGTGATGCACAACAACGTAGAGAAACAAAGAGAGAAGACAATGGAAAAGGAAATTATAGAGAAAATCTCAATGATACTATCATATATAGTCATTCTATTTATGTGTACATATTCCACTAAGATCGAAAATTAATTATAAATAAGGAAAAAATGAAAATTTATTTATCTAATTTAACCTCTGTCAAGTGTAGTAAAAATAAAATAACTTACAATGATGGCATATTTTTAAAATTTCTAATTCCTATGACCGTGTGGAAGGTGAATGTCATTCATACTTGTAGTGTTTAGTGCATCACTAGCATACAAGCGATTGATTGATTAATTTAGGCCCCATGGACGAGGAAAAAAAAACTTCAATAATTGGCTAAGATATTAAATAAATATTTCAATCATTTATCTCATAATTGAGATATTGAATTGAATAATAAAACTCACTCTTACAAGTTACATCCATTTATCTAAGAAAAGTTTTCCACGTTCACAAGATTCATTTTTCATTCTAATAAACCTATGTTTTGGTTTTATCAATACAAATTATAAAATTTCACAAGGAAAACAGTGAAGCATAATAATACCGTTTGTTACATTTGTGAGTCCCTTACTCTGACTTTGCTAGCAAGCGTAAACAAATTTGATTACTGCTTAGCATTAGATTTATTACAATTCCACGGCCTTTCAATTTCAACCTAAAACGTGTTAAGGACGTGAGTTGAGCTATTTGTACGTTATTGGTTCCACGTCTTAATCGATCTCTCAAGTGTTCCCATCCATCTCAAATTACACGGTAGAATACTAAATGAATATATGATTTATGATTATTACGTACACTCATATATTTTATCTTTACGTCTATTGACTACTAAAATATTGAAAAAGTGACAAATATACACATTGACACCTTTAAACACAAATACTTATTCACATGCAATTAGATAGCATTGGCTTTAATGTACTACAAAATGAAAAAAATATATAGAGACACATAAATGAGTTTTGTTGATTTCAATATCTGTCCAATTAAGTGATCAACAGATCTCGACCAACAACTTATAATCTGCACACATCATTAGAATGCAAAAATCACAACCTCAAAAATATGTCTTGTGATTATTTACACTTCGACGGTCAAATTAACTATCAAAATGAGAAGAATAAATTCAAGAGAAATGAATGAGAGGAGATTTAAGTATGGTTTAGAGTGTACATACCTTAAGTATAAACAGACTCACCTTTACGCATAGGAAGGGAAAGGGGCCACGATTGGCCATTGAAGCAGGCTAAAGTACAAGAACGATTTATTAAATTTGATATGACCCTATTCAATTAACATCGTCGATATCCAACCAGCTAATGAGTGATTGATCTCTTCACATGCATGTCACATAATTTATAAATGCAAAAAATTTAAGGTGCTTTTTAGCGCATTTGTAAGTTCGAGTGTGACAAGTAACAAAGCAATCGCCCTAATTAACGTATGTGGTCACGTCTTCTATATCACATAAGAAGAAATTTGGTAAACTAAGCTAATACTATAGCACTTTCACTTTAGATTATATGAACTAGTATCCGGATGGCAACGGGGCAGGGTCTCGTCCAAACCTCACCTCGTCCCGCATGCTCACCCTGCCTTACCTTAGATTGGGTAGGGCAGGCCAACTTTTTGTCCCATTTAATTTTTATTTTATTTTTTTCACATTTTCAAAGTTTCGAGTTATGTTATTATTAGAGAATAAAATGCAAATTCAAAATGAGTTTTTAATGGATGAATTGTCTAGAAATAAAATTATTTTTAATTATATTTTTTTTTTTTTCTTCACGGGGTGGGTGCCCCGCCTCACCAACTCATTCGGGGCAAGCTTTTTGTCCCATTTGGAGTGGGACGAATTGGATTTTTTTGCCGTCACTAAATTGCTGAAATGAGAAGGCAACTGCCACATGGTGACCTTGTCTCCTTCACTGGGTTTTGACTTTTAGTCATTCCTGACGATAATATTGCAGAAAAAAAAAATACAAGATATTGCAGAAGAAAAAATAAACACGCATTATTCAAAATCAATTTTTATCATCAGCATAATAGACAACTAAACTATTATAGCATTGAAAAAGGAAATTCAGCTCAACTGAAAGTCCCACAAATTGTTCTTTTTTCTTCTTTTTTGTCATTTTTCTGTTTAATCTTCAACAATATATTCCTTTCTGCCTTTCCTTCTCTCTCTCTCTCTCCAATCTGTCAATGAAATCGGACAAAAGGAAAACCCAGCATTTTTATTTTCTGGACCACTACCCCTTCCTTTCATATTAATCCTCTTTTTGTGAATTCACTTTTGAATCGGAAATTATGGGATTGCTCATTTCTTTTGTAACTCAAGAGATTTCGATGGTTTAACCTCTCACTCATTTATTTTCTGTAGGTATGTTTTCTCTTTACCACCCTTTTAACTAAGCATTAATTTCATAATATATCTCTTTCGCACGCGCGCGCGCGCACACACACACATATGCATGCATGTTTCTGTGTGAATCCGAATTCATATGTTAAAGAATGGACCAAATAGGTGAAACTTTGGGGTTTGGATTTCAGGGCAAGAGTAGAAATAGAGAGAGGAGCAAGAACTATAGCGGAGCCATTGAGAGAGAGAATGGACGGCTTTGGTCGCGTGATCAGAAGAAAGACTCTAGCTGAACGGCTAGGATTGAAGAATATTGGGTGCTGTGGAAGCACATGGGGCCTCCGCCCAACCTCCGTAAGTGAACGTGATGACGATGAACAAGAGTATGGCCCAAATGAACCACAAATTGAAGTAATAAGTGTAAACCACGCGCCTCCGGAAAACGAGGTAACCCCCGAGTGCATCAGTCATTCTCCGGCGGTGTCAGGGATGAACTTGGCGGCAGCTTTGGCCGCGGAACGCCACCTCAGGGCAGCGCTAGATTCGGATAATGGAGGAATTGACCCAGGCCCAAGCCCAGAAAGGCCCAGTAACAATGAATGGTACGATGGAACTGCAGGAACCGCACCTAGGACCTCATTCAGGGTGTCTTTGATGAGACTACTGGAAGAAACGGATGGCTGGGATGAAGAGGTGAAGAAAGAGGAAACAGGAGGACGACTAGAAGGTCGATGTGGTGATTCAGTGTGCTGCGTGTGCATGGGAAGGAAAAAAGATGCAGCATTTATACCATGTGGGCACACTTTTTGCAGAATTTGTTCAAGAGAGTTGTGGTTGAATCGTGGTACTTGTCCCCTTTGCAACCGTCTGATTCTCGAAATTCTCGATATTTACTGAGATCAGCCAGATTGATTCTTGAGGTTTGTGATAGATTTGAATCAAACTATGGTCATGAATTTTATGACAATGTGGAATTCACTCATACGAATTTTAAGTCCGAATTGATTGATACTGTAACAGGGGAAATCTTGTGGAAATACAATAAAGTATTAAGTTTCCATCTTGTGATTATTAACGAATAACAAAAAACTTCTTTTACCAGATAAAGGAACTGTGTTTTCCCCCAAGTTCTCAATTTCTAGGCATCTACATCATACTGCATTTATTTATTTATTTTATCTTATTTTATCAGTCTGTCACCAGGTGCAATTGATAATACAAATAGATCTATCAGGTCATTTAATTCTAAATTTATATTTATGAATTCTGTTTTGAATTTGAGACGCGTGTTTTATTAAAATTGAGTAATGCTGCGTAGCCCATTGCGGCTACAACCTCAGTTTAGGTAACCCTAAATAATAGATTAAATGAAAGATGAGTGGGCTACATAGACTGATTTTAACACCGATGGTAATAAAAAGCATACCTCAAATCATGAATTTAATAAGGACATGGAACGAGATCATTAACAAGCATCACAAGCAAATATCACAATTGAGTGCGATGAACAAGAGTATGGCCCAAATGAACCACAAATTGAAGTAATAAGTGTAAACCACGCGCCTCCGGAAAACGAGGTAACCCCAGAGTGCATCAGTCATTCTCCGGCGGTGTCAGGGATGAACTTGGCGGCGGCTTTGGCCGCGGAACGCCACCTCAGGGCAGCGCTAGATTCGGATAATGGAGGCATTGACCCAGGCCCAAGCCCAGAAAGGCCCAGTAACAATGAATGGTACGATGGAACTGCAGGAACCGCACCTAGGACCTCATTCCGAGTGTCGTTGATGAGACTACTGGAAGAAACGGATGGCTGGGATGAAGAGGTGAAGAAAGAGGAAACAGGAGGACGACTAGAAGGTGGATGTGGTGATTCAGTGTGCTGCGTGTGCATGGGAAGGAAAAAAGATGCAGCATTTATACCATGTGGGCACACTTTTTGCAGAATTTGTTCAAGAGAGTTGTGGTTGAATCGAGGTACTTGTCCCCTTTGCAACCGTTTGATTCTCGAAATTCTCGATATTTACTGAGATCAGCCAGATTGATTCTTGAGGTTTGTGATAGATTTGAATCAAACTATGGTCATGAATTTTATGGCAATGTGGAATTCACTCGTACGAATTTTAAGTCCGAATTGATTGATACTGTAACAGGAGAAATCTTGTGGAAATACAATAAAGTATTAAGTTTTCATCTTGTGATTATTATCGAATAACAAAAAACTTCTTTTACCAGATAAAGGAACTATGTTTTCCCCCAAGTTCTCAATTTCTAGGCTTCTACATCATACTGCATTTATTTATTTATTTATTTATTTTTATCAGTCTGTCACCAGGTGCAATTGATAATACAAATAGATCTATCAGGTCATTTAATTCTAAATTTATATTTATGAATTCTGTTTTGAATTTGAGACGCGTGTTTTATTAAAATTGAGTACTGCTGTGTAGCCCACTGCAGCTACAACCTCAGTTTAGGTAACCCTAAATAATAGATTAAATGAAAGATGAATGGGCTACATAGATTGATTTTAACATCGATGGTAATAAAAAGCATACCTCAAATCATAAATTTAATAAGGACATGGAACGAGATCATTAACAAGCATCACAAGCAAATATCACAATTGAGTACTTGCAAGGAAGAAATGCACGTCTTTCGGGTATAATCTGCAGTTTTCTAGGATCGTTGAAGAAAATTATTAGAGATGGGGATTAACTGTAATCATGATGAAGTCAAAATTTTGAAATTGCATGGATGAAGATGACTGTCCCTACGGTGAGTGATTCACTTACTCAAAAGATACACACAGATATATAGAGAGAGAGAGAGAGAGAGAGAGAGAGAGAGAGAGAGAGAGAGAGATGGGCAACGTTCCCAGTTAATAACATGGAGACATGGAGACAGTTTTTGAGGGGCTTCTTTGAGGTAACTCTGTAAGACAAATTTTTATTACTAATGTTCAATACTCTCGTCAAACATGCCAAAAAGGAACATTACAAGAAATGTATGGAACAAGTGTTTGACAACAAGGAACATTACAAGAAATATATGGAACAAGGATTTACGGAAATGGCGAGTAGCAAAGGACTTGAAATTGTCAAAATGCACGTCATGTGTTTTTCAACTTCTTGATGAATTTTTTTGGGGTTCATTATGAATGATAACAGGAAGGTTATGAGAAAATTGCAAGGAAATTGGAGAAACTGGCTGAACTTCTGGATTTGCTAGATGAGAATCTTGGACTAGAGAAAGGTTATCTCAAGAAGGCATTCTATAACTCAGAAGGACCTATTTTTTGGCAGAAAAGTCAGCAACTACCCCGGATTCCCTGGCCAGAACTGATAAAAGGCCTTTCTGCCACGCACAAATGCCCGTGGCATAATCCTGCTCTTCCAGGACAACAAGGCCAATGGCCTTCAGCTACTCCAAGATAGGGAATGGGTCGACGTGCTACCCATGCATCACTCCATCGTCATTCATAAACATCGGCGATCAACTTGAGGCATATACCTTTATGCAGTCTAAGTCCCTATGAGTCAATCTTATCCATTCCAATTCTTCACACTATCTCTCAAGGGAGAATATCAAATTGGATCGTGATCCTACAAATTATCAAAGCTATGAGGAGAATATCAATTGGTTCGTGATCCTACAAAATATCAAGCTATGATTTCTAACTTGAATCTACATCCTTTGTGAGGCGATCACGAATGGAAAATACAGGTGTGATGCACAGAGCAATCACACAAACTGATGGGAACAGAATGTCACTTGCGTCATTCTACAATCCTGCAAGCGATGCTGTAATCTATCCAGCACCAGCCTTAGTAGAGAAAGAGTAAAGAAATGTACCCACAATTTGTGTTTGAAGACTACATGAAGCTTTATGCTGGCCTCAAATTCCAGGCCGAGGAACCTGCCTTAGTGTGTGCATGGTTTGTTCTATTTTATGGTGCTTGTACGATGATAAATTCACTGCTGGTATTGAAGAGATCTTGTGTGGGTAAATAAAGTATGAACGATATTTTCTTGTTTGAAGAAATCTATTGAGATGAAGGAATTTCTGTTGGGACAACAAATTCGTATGGCAAAAGACCAATATGTAAAGAATATTTCAGGAAGAAAGTTAATTAAGAGGTTGAATAGTTACAATCATATGATTTACTGAAATGGGAAAATGCCACTAGATTATCATTCTGTATAACAATTGATGTTCTAACAGATCCCACAAATCTTAGTGATTAAGGGAACAATTCCCCTCCTTCGGCACTACTACTAGTAGTCTAGTAAGGGTGTAATTACTCACGCATGCATAAGAAATGCGGATTGAGTGAACCACAAAATGCCAGATCAAGTGATAGCTTTCTAGTCAATTTCCAAATAAATGCATAGAATTATGTCAAAATATAAATTAAAAGCAATGAGTAAACAGTAAGAAAAAAATAGAGGGACTAAAGAAATCTGATGACTATATGGCCCTGTTTCGTACTCATTTTTTTCAAAATGCATTTTTCTCTCTATTCTTTTCAACCACACATTCTTCATTAAAATAATATTACACGTAAATCAAAAACTTTTCCTTATTTTTCAACCACGCATTTCCCATCAATTTACTATTCCAAAATGTATTTTTACATAAAAATGGCTCCCAAACACCCTCTATACGTCAAAAACCTCCCATGTAAATTTGAAGATTGTTAGGAGAAATTCCACCCCCACATACTATTTTGAACCTCTTCTTTCTAGCAAAAGGGTTTAAGATGCAAGCAAGAAAGGGCATAGCATATAAAATTTCCATACCTGACACGGTCATAATATATTGCTTTTTCATGCAGGTCAAATCAAAACACTTGAGAGATTAACTATTTCATTGCATTCAACTGAAGATAGCAGCAATATCCTCTTCCTTGTACCGTGAGCAAAAAACCAAAAACGTCAAGAATAATTCAGTAAATTTCTACTTATACGATCATGGCAGTCAAAGCAGCCACCTCCTGAAACTTCAGAGCAGCCTTGTCGAAAAGGCTTTGGGCTGCTTCACTTGTAACTGTTTCCTCAAGGGCTTCGGAACATAGTTCCATCCCGAGCTCATGCAGATCTACATGAGTGTCAGGATCAATGCCAACGTGGCTACGGAATAGCTGTGCAAACTCAAATAGCCAATCATCCATCTCCACCTCCTTGCATGCAAGGTCCTCTGGTTTTCCAGTTTTCCCCTTCAGAATTGTCTTTTCGGCCTTATCAATCTCAGCATCTAAAGCTTCCAAAGCAGAATCACCGGTCAAAGATTGTGATACACTCTCATCTCCTTTAGTTCCTTCACTCTCGAGAGGCTTCTCTTCTTCCTCTTCCAACACAGGAGGCTCTTGCTCTGGGCTCACCTCAACGACATGCAATCTCAACATCCCAACGGAGTCTCCTTTATCTTTGTCAGGGTGTTTTGGAATAAGGTTGTCGACACAGGACTCTGCAATTCTAAGTTCATTTGTACCTGTTATCGTCACCAAGTCACCATCATTGTCCTTATATTTAATCAGTACTGATTTCGACATAGGAAAACGTTTGCCAACTATCTCCCTCAAAACTCGAAAGCTACAGTTCACTGGCATTTGAGCAAGCCTTATGTCATGATCATATACAAGCTTCAGCGACCTCCATTGAGACACAGCCCCAGCAGCTAGCCCAGGAATGAGAATCGACGATGATGAAGAACTTGACCGTTCCTTTTGGTTGTCCTTATTAGCATTTGTATAGGGTTTTGAAGAACTATTTGAAGGCTTCAAGACAACTTGCGGTAATTGGGCCTTCGTCTCAGGACCATTCTCAGTATGTGGTATTGGATAAAGCTTTTCTGACTTACTACTAGTAGCTGGTACAGCAGATGCCTGCTTCTTAGGCACAGATCTGGCTGACAAACAAGATCCAAGGCCAGCTATTGGTGCCCCAACGGCAGAGGCCCCAAGAGCAGCTGGTGAAGGACGGCTCTGGAGATCCTGCTGGGCCTCTTGACGTGGGCCAAGTACCATCCTCAATCGCCCTGATATCTCTAAGGCATCTTGATTATTTGGATCAGAAACCAGCAGCGCTTGCACATCTTGCGTAGCCATTTCATACTTACCAATAGCCTCAAATGCACGAGCCCTTCTTAGAAGGGCCCGGACAAACTGAGGCTGTACCTGAAGTGCCATGGCACACTCAGATATCACAGTATCATAATCTATAGGCTTCATTTGCATCAAACAAGCTGCCCTGTTACTATGGAATACAGCTCGATCTGGGTGCATTTTTGGGGTAACTTTGAGGGCATTCTCATATTGCTGAAGAGCACCAATATAATCCTTAGCCTGAAACCTTTTATTTCCCTCTTCTTTTCGCTCATGGGCTCTTTTCAAGAAAATAGAGGAATCCAAATCAACACCTCCATTAACAATAGGGGTGGAATTATTATCTATCCCAGATACCTTCTGGCTTTGGTTAGCATCACTCTTCTTTTTCTTACCCCCAGATTTCCCCATATGATTCTCAAACCCTCCCAAGATTCAAAGTTTATTCTAAACAAAGAAAAAAAAAATTTACAAACACTGAACTCAATTCGGACAAACTTTTCAGTATAGATTAAAATATTTCCTAAAATTCGGGAAACGGAACAAAGGAAGAAGAAGGTACTTACAAGTAAGAACTTAATACCTTATATGAATTATTCGAGATTTCTTGATTGAATTCTGGAGACCCAGAAACAAATTTGGAAAAACACTAATCGGATGAAAAGGCTCTTATATAAAGATGAAGGGGAAGAGTCGTGAAAGATGGGGTTTCGGGTGGTGAGTTGAGTTTGAAAACCTAGATCGTAAAATTAATGCAAAAAGAAGAAGAATCTACTACAGATTTTTTTTACAGAATTTGTACATAAAAACAATTATATTCATGTAATTGACTATTGTTAAATATAATTTTTGGCAATAGTAAATCATGGGAAGACAGTTGTCTATTTGTACCAATTCAATTAAAAAAAAAATTTACATTTAGAGATTATTCGAAACAAAGAGAAAGAGGGAAAAAAAAAACGATTTGAGAGAGAGAGAAAAAAAGAAATTAATTAAATTTTAGCCTATTAGGGCTCTCCAAAAAATATATTTTTTTTCTTTTTTTTATCTACACATTTTTTAATAAAATAATAAAAAAATTACCCGTAACCCATTTTAAATATACATTTCAAATATCAAATCTTCTCTTTTCACAAATCAAGGATTAATTATTTATTTAACATTTATTGAATCCACATCTCACAATTTCTCTCCCCTTAAAAATCTCGAAAATAGCTCTAACAACTAAAGGAAGAAGAAAATTTTCTCCAACGATGGCCTTGCAAGAAAAAAATTGGACATCACCACTGCAAGAACACAGCGACGATGTGAGGCCATTGTTGGGCTGAGGCGACTCGATTTGCTTTGGAGTAATATGTTAGGATGGTGGTTGGCGATGGCGGTGGTGGAATGGTAGTATTGATGGTGATGTTGGTAGTGATGATGCCGATGATGATGGCTAATATTGACTTCCACATATAGTTTATTTTAGATTACAATCCCAAGTAATAGGCGCTGATTGTATTTCATTTGTAGTAAATCCTTTGATTCACCCCTGATTGTGATTATTTCCTTGCTTTTCCTTCAATTTTGTATCACGAGCAATGAAATGCCACTGTATCTCAAAGACTATACAACTTGTGATGTACCATTTCGTGTTTTAGTAATAAATCAACTGTATTTATCTCATCTCCTTTTGCCTCTTCACCTTGTTTGGTTTCACATCCCAATTATCTTTGAGTATGTTTGGTCAAGATTTTTAAAGTTTATAAGTTGGTCAAATATAATTTATAATGGTTGTGTGATGTTGTGTGATCTGGTGGTAGGGTGGTGATACCAATAGTGATGTCAATGGTGTTGACCATTTATATGTGAACTATGAACCTCTACGACTAAGTTTGAGTTAATCGTGATTGATTGTGACCAAGATTGTTTGTGTCAATTGTGATCGGTTGTGACAAAGTCTTTCTTCATTATAATTATGACTGTATGCGATCAAATTAATAGTAACTTGGTTACATAAAATTATAAATTAGATCAACATAGTCACAGATAATCATACTAAAGACAAATTTGGTCATAGATAACACATGTCAGTAATTTGGTTACATACACAAATTAGACTGAGCTGGTCCCACCCAATCACATTGAAGATAAAATTGGTCATAGATAACACTTCTGTTCATAAATAATAAATTTGATCACAGATAACACAATTAGTTACAAATCTAATCACCTACAATGTACCACTACTGAATTACATAGTATCCAAAATGTTGCTATCAGCTGACCACCACCGCTACTATACATATTAACTCCAATGCACTATCATCACCTGCGATGCACCATCACCTTCATCACGCAGATTTATTTCCTTAACATAGTTGAGATCTCATCACTGTTGCCATTACCTGCAAAGCTATTTGTATTTGTAAATATGTGTGTGTGTGTGTGTGTGTAGAGAGAGAGAGAGAGAGATTTTGAATTTATGAAGGTGGAGATGTTCCCTGGAAAGTTCATTAAAATTGGGTTGGACTGCGTAGGGTTTGGTGGAGAATATAATTTATGCCAATGGTATATATGTATAAATTATAATATATAAAGAGAAATAAATATAATGGATATATATATTATTATATATCATTAATTGGAATTGCCATATGATCTAAGAAAGTATTTTGTAAGATTGTTAGAGGTGAAATGTGATTCTTATAGTGTAGTAGCTGCGTACTGTTTCCAAAATTATATTAAACGTAAACTTAAAAAATTTCCTTATCTTTTAACCACACATATAAAAAATCACAATTTTAAAATACAATTTCTCCCAAAATCACATTAAATTTGAGCTCAATGTCATGTCATTTATTTCTACATGAATCTGTAAATAATTATATACATATAGTATTAATAAGCCTAGCCTATTACACAAAAATGCATTTTTAAACTCATTTTTCATCACACGTTATTCCAATAAATAATTTTAAATATGTAAACTTAAAACATTTTCATATTTTTTAAACACACACATTCTTCAAAACATCATTATTACAAAACTCATTCTTAAATAAAAAATAAATAAAATAGGGCCCAAACACGAACATAATGAATATTGGCTGCGTACCTTATTAGTCATGTAAACGTTTGCATTGTGGGTAGTAAATTTTACATTAAAACCTCATTAAGCTCCTGTTTAATGGTTATTATTGAGAAAAAAATAAAATTTTGAATAGTAATTTAAAAAAAAACGCGTGATCAAAAAGAAGGGAAAAGTATGTGATTGAAAACGGGTATGAGAATTAAAGAAATTTATTTTAAATGAAAATAAATAGGGACTAAATAAATTTAACAATTTTATAAATTGTTTATAAAGAAAAATAGTGATAAATTATGCAAATTTTATGGATAATAAATAAATAATAATTATGAGTGTGGTTAAAATTAGCCTCTATTGGTAGGAATTAAAATTCAAGTTTTAATATAACTTAAAATCAACAATTAATTTTAACTACATATTTCATAAGACTCACAAGTTTTCAACCGTATATTTCATCAACCTTTATAAAAATTTACTAAAAATCTGATTTTAATCCCCACCAAATAGGGGTTAGTATTTAATTTGGTCTAAATTCCTTTTATTTTTTTATTTTTTATTTATAAATTGGTTGCTAAATGAAGGCTTAGTAACCTCACTTAAATAATAAAATTTTCACTCCAGACTCGAATCAATATATTGAATTAAATAATTTTACTTAAAATTCAAGATAAATTACTTTCTTATTTATAAAAACTAAACCTTCATCTTCACCATCTTATTAAGAATTGAGTCGAATAATAAAGACGAGAATAATATAAGTAATATGAAAATAATGGATTACAAAGAAAACAAAATTTATGTAGAAGAGTATGAGAATTTCATATATCAAGAAACTAAAATTGTGAGTCCCACAAATTGTTCTTTTTTCTTCTTTTTTGTCATTTTTCTGTTTAATCTTCAACAATATATTCCTTTCTGCCTTTCCTTCTCTCTCTCTCTCTCTCTACATCTGTCAATGAAATCGCACAAAAGTAAAACCCAGCATTTTTATTTTCTGGACCACTACCCCTTCCTTTCATATTAATCCTCTTTTTGTGAATTCACTTTTGAATCGGAAATTATGGGATTGCTCATTTCTTTTGTAACTCAAGAGATTTCGATGGGTTAACCTCTCACTCATTTATTTTCTGTAGGTATGTTTTCTCTTTACCACCATTTTAACTAAGCATTAATTTCATAATATATCTCTCTCGCACGCGCGCGCGCACACACACATATGCATGCATGTTTCTGTGTGAATCCGAATTCATATGTTAAAGAATGGACCAAATAGGTGAAACTTTGGGGTTTGGATTTCAGGGCAAGAGTAGAAATAGAGAGAGGAGCAAGAACTATAGCGGAGCCATTGAGAGAGAGAATGGACGGCTTTGGTCGCGTGATCAGAAGAAAGACTCTAGCTGAACGGCTAGGATTGAAGAATATTGGGTGCTGTGGAAGCACATGGGGCCTCCGCCCAACCTCCGTAAGTGAACGTGATGACGATGAACAAGAGTATGGCCCAAATGAACCACAAATTGAAGTAATAAGTGTAAACCACGCGCCTCCGGAAAACGAGGTAACCCCCGAGTGCATCAGTCATTCTCCGGCGGTGTCAGGGATGAACTTGGCGGCAGCTTTGGCCGCGGAACGCCACCTCAGGGCAGCGCTAGATTCGGATAATGGAGGCATTGACCCAGGCCCAAGCCCAGAAAGGCCCAGTAACAATGAATGGTACGATGGAACTGCAGGAACCGCACCTAGGACCTCATTCCGAGTGTCGTTGATGAGACTACTGGAAGAAACGGATGGCTGGGATGAAGAGGTGAAGAAAGAGGAAACAGGAGGACGACTAGAAGGTCGATGTGGTGATTCAGTGTGCTGCGTGTGCATGGGAAGGAAAAAAGATGCAGCATTTATACCATGTGGGCACACTTTTTGCAGAATTTGTTCAAGAGAGTTGTGGTTGAATCGAGGTACTTGTCCCCTTTGCAACCGTTTGATTCTCGAAATTCTCGATATTTACTGAGATCAGCCAGATTGATTCTTGAGGTTTGTGATAGATTTGAATCAAACTATGGTCATGAATTTTATGGCAATGTGGAATTCACTCGTACGAATTTTAAGTCCGAATTGATTGATACTGTAACAGGAGAAATCTTGTGGAAATACAATAAAGTATTAAGTTTTCATCTTGTGATTATTATCGAATAACAAAAAACTTCTTTTACCAGATAAAGGAACTGTGTTTTCCCCCAAGTTCTCAATTTCTAGGCATCTACATCATACTGCATTTATTTATTTATTTTATCTTATTTTATCAGTCTGTCACCAGGTGCAATTGATAATACAAATAGATCTATCAGGTCATTTAATTCTAAATTTATATTTATGAATTCTGTTTTGAATTTGAGACGCGTGTTTTATTAAAATTGAGTACTGCTGTGTAGCCCACTGCAGCTACAACCTCAGTTTAGGTAACCCTAAATAATAGATTAAATGAAAGATGAGTGGGCTACATAGACTGATTTTAACACCGATGGTAATAAAAAGCATACCTCAAATCATGAATTTAATAAGGACATGGAACGAGATCATTAACAAGCATCACAAGCAAATATCACAATTGAGTGCTTGCAAGGAAGAAATGCACGTCTTTCGGGTATAATCTGCAGTTTTCTAGGATCGTTGAAGAAAATTATTAGAGATGGGGATTAACTGTAATCATGATGAAGTCAAAATTTTGAAATTGCATGGATGAAGATGACTGTCCCTACGGTGAGTGATTCACTTACTCAAAAGATACACACATAGTTATAGAGAGAGAGAGAGAGAGAGAGAGATGGGCAACGTTCCCAGTTAATAACATGGAGACATGGAGACAGTTTTTGAGGGGCTTCTTTGAGGTAACTCTGTAAGACAAATTTTTATTACTAATGTTCAATACTCTCGTCAAACATGCCAAAAAGGAACAGTACAAGAAATGTATGGAACAAGTGTTTGACAACAAGGAACATTACAAGAAATATATGGAACAAGGATTTACGGAAATGGCGAGTAGCAAAGGACTTGAAATTGTCAAAATGCACGTCATGTGTTTTTCAACTTCTTGATGAATTTTTTTGGGGTTCATTATGAATGATAACAGGAAGGTTATGAGAAAATTGCAAGGAAATTGGAGAAACTGGCTGAACTTCTGGATTTGCTAGATGAGAATCTTGGACTAGAGAAAGGTTATCTCAAGAAGGCATTCTATAACTCAGAAGGACCTATTTTTTGGCAGAAAAGTCAGCAACTACCCCGGATTCCCTGGCCAGAACTGATAAAAGGCCTTTCTGCCACGCACAAATGCCCGTGGCATAATCCTGCTCTTCCAGGACAACAAGGCCAATGGCCTTCAGCTACTCCAAGATAGGGAATGGGTCGACGTGCTACCCATGCATCACTCCATCGTCATTCATAAACATCGGCGATCAACTTGAGGCATATACCTTTATGCAGTCTAAGTCCCTATGAGTCAATCTTATCCATTCCAATTCTTCACACTATCTCTCAAGGGAGAATATCAAATTGGATCGTGATCCTACAAATTATCAAAGCTATGAGGAGAATATCAATTGGTTCGTGATCCTACAAAATATCAAGCTATGATTTCTAACTTGAATCTACATCCTTTGTGAGGCGATCACGAATGGAAAATACAGGTGTGATGCACAGAGCAATCACACAAACTGATGGGAACAGAATGTCACTTGCGTCATTCTACAATCCTGCAAGCGATGCTGTAATCTATCCAGCACCAGCCTTAGTAGAGAAAGAGTAAAGAAATGTACCCACAATTTGTGTTTGAAGACTACATGAAGCTTTATGCTGGCCTCAAATTCCAGGCCGAGGAACCTGCCTTAGTGTGTGCATGGTTTGTTCTATTTTATGGTGCTTGTACGATGATAAATTCACTGCTGGTATTGAAGAGATCTTGTGTGGGTAAATAAAGTATGAACGATATTTTCTTGTTTGAAGAAATCTATTGAGATGAAGGAATTTCTGTTGGGACAACAAATTCGTATGGCAAAAGACCAATATGTAAAGAATATTTCAGGAAGAAAGTTAATTAAGAGGTTGAATAGTTACAATCATATGATTTACTGAAATGGGAAAATGCCACTAGATTATCATTCTGTATAACAATTGATGTTCTAACAGATCCCACAAATCTTAGTGATTAAGGGAACAATTCCCCTCCTTCGGCACTACTACTAGTAGTCTAGTAAGGGTGTAATTACTCACGCATGCATAAGAAATGCGGATTGAGTGAACCACAAAATGCCAGATCAAGTGATAGCTTTCTAGTCAATTTCCAAATAAATGCATAGAATTATGTCAAAATATAAATTAAAAGCAATGAGTAAACAGTAAGAAAAAAATAGAGGGACTAAAGAAATTTGATGACTATATGGCCCTGTTTCGTACTCATTTTTTTCAAAATGCATTTTTCTCTCTATTCTTTTCAACCACACATTCTTCATTAAAATAATATTACACGTAAATCAAAAACTTTTCCTTATTTTTCAACCACGCATTTCCCATCAATTTACTATTCCAAAATGTATTTTTACATAAAAATGGCTCCCAAACACCCTCTATACGTCAAAAACCTCCCATGTAAATTTGAAGATTGTTAGGAGAAATTCCACCCCCACATACTATTTTGAACCTCTTCTTTCTAGCAAAAGGGTTTAAGATGCAAGCAAGAAAGGGCATAGCATATAAAATTTCCATACCTGACACGGTCATAATATATTGCTTTTTCATGCAGGTCAAATCAAAACACTTGAGAGATTAACTATTTCATTGCATTCAACTGAAGATAGCAGCAATATCCTCTTCCTTGTACCGTGAGCAAAAAACCAAAAACGTCAAGAATAATTCAGTAAATTTCTACTTATACGATCATGGCAGTACGACCTCGCCAACTTAATCCAAATCACATTTATCTGACCAAATGAGGCTTATATGCACCAAATTGAGAAGATAAAATGAAGATATTCAATGGCAGAAATGAGAGCAGAACACTAATATCCAAAGAACTACACAATATTTACTGAATCATAAAAAAGCATAATGACAAAAACAAAATATGTCATCATTCAACTACAATCTCATTTCACGACCTCGCCAACTTAATCCAAATCACATTTATCTGACCAAATGAGGCTTATATGCACCAAATTGAGAAGATAAAATGAAGATATTCAATGGCAGAAATGAGAGCAGAACACTAATATCCAAAGAACTACACAATATTTACTGAATCATAAAAAAGCATAATGACAAAAACAAAATATGTCATCATTCAACTACAATCTCATTTTTCGATGAGCAGGATAATCTTTGATGTAATAATGAGGAATTTCATAATAATCCATGTGCAAAACAATTTAACGTTTGAACATCTAAATTCATCTCTTTTCCAGATTGGTGGATCTTAGGAGGTTTTCCAAGTAATTCATGGAATCAACATGGCATCTTTCTAGATATCGGGTAGGTGAAAATATCATAATTCTGCTTTTCATTTGAAAAGAGATCCAAAAATTAAGCCACATATATAGTTAAAGAATGGTGTGGCTCAGCAATTTCTTTTTTCTCTTCTAAGAAAGATCTTCGGTTTCATGTAATTGATGAAACAGACATAAATTTGGGCAAAAGTTCAAAGCAAAAAATTAGAATCAGCTTGATAGTCAAGAGGTTACAGGGGTAGTCAATTTTCTTCTTCAAAGGCATGATAGAACATTTTTCTCTAGTATTCTGCATATAGAAGGCGCTTTTTTCCAATCGAAACACAAGAAATTGTAAGGCATCACCCAAGGCAATGCCTAAAATCATATTACTCCCCCAGAAATGTGACAGACTACACTTTCACCATCTCCTTTATCAGCCATTTCTATATTCAGTTCCTCAATCTTTTTCTGATTCTTTTCCGCAGATTCCACGTTAGAACAATGATTTTTCAGAACTGTTAAGATGTCAGCTTGGGAGGCCCCAGCAAGTTTAAATCGCTTGACTGCGGTATCCAGGTTCGTCTTCCAACCTGGCAAGCCCAATTTACATTCGACCTGAGATCTCTCAAAAAGCATGTTCCCCCAAAATAGATGGATTTGAGATCTCATAACAGCAGCTTGCTCTGCCGCTTCTTCGGCTGAAATTTCGCCTTGACCACCTACTGCCAAGGAATCGCCTTCCGCATCACTACCCTGCTTCTTCCTTCTCCTTGACAGTTCATCCTTCTTATTCATATTAGGACCCTTCAATTCTTTTGCTCTCTGCTCTTCCAGCTTTTCCCACATTTCAGTTGCTGCTTTCAGTTTAATCTCTGCACTGTCAAAAAGTTCAATAGTCTTGGCAGGATCCCAGTTCGACAGATCTTCTTTTTTGGCCAATACAAAGGACCAATGAAGTTTTGCCATTTCAAATTGTTGCTGCCCCAGTGCCAACAAACCTTCATAAAAATCTGGTTTGATCAAGACTGCCTCCTCATATTTCTCTCTGGCAAGAGAGTATTTTTCTCTTACCCAGTCATATGTAGTTTGTAGCTGAATAGCCATCAATTCCTTTGAAGCTGATTCATCAATTGGAATCCGTTTCCTTGCTTCACACATATGAACATTTCCCCAATTGAAAAAAGCCAAAGCAGCCACCTCCTGAAACTTCAGAGCAGCCTTGTCGAAAAGGCTTTGGGCTGCTTCACTTGTAACTGTTTCCTCAAGGGCTTCGGAACATAGTTCCATCCCGAGCTCATGCAGATCTACATGAGTGTCAGGATCAATGCCAACGTGGCTACGGAATAGCTGTGCAAACTCAAATAGCCAATCATCCATCTCCACCTCCTTGCATGCAAGGTCCTCTGGTTTTCCAGTTTTCCCCTTCAGAATTGTCTTTTCGGCCTTATCAATCTCAGCATCTAAAGCTTCCAAAGCAGAATCACCGGTCAAAGATTGTGATACACTCTCATCTCCTTTAGTTCCTTCACTCTCGAGAGGCTTCTCTTCTTCCTCTTCCAACACAGGAGGCTCTTGCTCTGGGCTCACCTCAACGACATGCAATCTCAACATCCCAACGGAGTCTCCTTTATCTTTGTCAGGGTGTTTTGGAATAAGGTTGTCGACACAGGACTCTGCAATTCTAAGTTCATTTGTACCTGTTATCGTCACCAAGTCACCATCATTGTCCTTATATTTAATCAGTACTGATTTCGACATAGGAAAACGTTTGCCAACTATCTCCCTCAAAACTCGAAAGCTACAGTTCACTGGCATTTGAGCAAGCCTTATGTCATGATCATATACAAGCTTCAGCGACCTCCATTGAGACACAGCCCCAGCAGCTAGCCCAGGAATGAGAATCGACGATGATGAAGAACTTGACCGTTCCTTTTGGTTGTCCTTATTAGCATTTGTATAGGGTTTTGAAGAACTATTTGAAGGCTTCAAGACAACTTGCGGTAATTGGGCCTTCGTCTCAGGACCATTCTCAGTATGTGGTATTGGATAAAGCTTTTCTGACTTACTACTAGTAGCTGGTACAGCAGATGCCTGCTTCTTAGGCACAGATCTGGCTGACAAACAAGATCCAAGGCCAGCTATTGGTGCCCCAACGGCAGAGGCCCCAAGAGCAGCTGGTGAAGGACGGCTCTGGAGATCCTGCTGGGCCTCTTGACGTGGGCCAAGTACCATCCTCAATCGCCCTGATATCTCTAAGGCATCTTGATTATTTGGATCAGAAACCAGCAGCGCTTGCACATCTTGCGTAGCCATTTCATACTTACCAATAGCCTCAAATGCACGAGCCCTTCTTAGAAGGGCCCGGACAAACTGAGGCTGTACCTGAAGTGCCATGGCACACTCAGATATCACAGTATCATAATCTATAGGCTTCATTTGCATCAAACAAGCTGCCCTGTTACTATGGAATACAGCTCGATCTGGGTGCATTTTTGGGGTAACTTTGAGGGCATTCTCATATTGCTGAAGAGCACCAATATAATCCTTAGCCTGAAACCTTTTATTTCCCTCTTCTTTTCGCTCATGGGCTCTTTTCAAGAAAATAGAGGAATCCAAATCAACACCTCCATTAACAATAGGGGTGGAATTATTATCTATCCCAGATACCTTCTGGCTTTGGTTAGCATCACTCTTCTTTTTCTTACCCCCAGATTTCCCCATATGATTCTCAAACCCTCCCAAGATTCAAAGTTTATTCTAAGCAAAGAAAAAAAAAAATTTACAAACACTGAACTCAATTCGGACAAACTTTTCAGTATAGATTAAAATATTTCCTAAAATTCGGGAAACGGAACAAAGGAAGAAGAAGGTACTTACAAGTATGAACTTAATACCTTATATGAATTATTCGAGATTTCTCGATTGAATTCTGGAGACCCAGAAACAAATTTGGAAAAACACTAATCAGACGAAAAGGCTCTTATATAAAGATGAAGGGGAAGAGTCGTGAAAGATGGGGTTTCGGGTGGTGAGTTGAGTTTGAAAACCTAGATCGTAAAATTAATGCAAAAAGAAGAAGAATCTACTACAGATTTTTTTTACAGAATTTGTACATAAAAACAGTTATTTTCATGTAATTGACTATTGTTAAAAATAATTTTTGGCAATAGTAAATTATGGGAAGACAGTTGTCTATTTGTACCAATTCAATTAAAAAAAAAAATTTACATTTAGAGATTATTCGAAACAAAGAGAAAGAGGAAAAAAAAACGATTTGAGAGAGAGAGAAAAAAAGAAATTAATTAAATTTTAGCCTATTAGGGCTCTCCAAAAAATATATTTTTTTTCTTTTTTTTATCTACACATTTTTTAATAAAATAATAAAAAAATTACCCGTAACCCATTTTAAATATACATTTCAAATATCAAATCTTCTCTTTTCACAAATCAAGGATTAATTATTTATTTAACATTTATTGAATCCACATCTCACAATTTCTCTCCCCTTAAAAATCTCGAAAATAGCTCTAACAACTAAAGGAAGAAGAAAATTTTCTCCAACGATGGCCTTGCAAGAAAAAAATTGGACATCACCACTGCAAGAACACAGCTACGATGTGAGGCCATTGTTGGGCTGAGGCGACTCGATTTGCTTTGGAGTAATATGTTAGGATGGTGATTGGCGATGGCGGTGGTGGAATGGTAGTATTGATGGTGATGTTGGTAGTGATGATGCCGATGATGATGGCTAATATTGACTTCCACATATAGTTTATTTTAGATTACAATCCCAAGTAATAGGCGCTGATTGTATTTCATTTGTAGTAAATCCTTTGATTCACCCCTGATTGTGATTATTTCCTTGCTTTTCCTTCAATTTTGTATCACGAGCAATGAAATGCCACTGTATCTCAAAGACTATACAACTTGTGATGTACCATTTCGTGTTTTAGTAATAAATCAACTGTATTTATCTCATCTCTTTTTGCCTCTTCACCTTGTTTGGTTTCACATCCCAATTATCTTTGAGTATGTTTGGTCAAGATTTTTAAAGTTTATAAGTTGGTCAAATATAATTTATAATGGTTGTGTGATGTTGTGTGATCTGGTGGTAGGGTGGTGATACCAATAGTGATGTCAATGGTGTTGACCATTTATATGTGAACTATGAACCTCTACGACTAAGTTTGAGTTAATCGTGATTGATTGTGACCAAGATTGTTTGTGTCAATTGTGATCGGTTGTGACAAAGTCTTTCTTCATTATAATTATGACTGTATGCGATCAAATTAATAGTAACTTGGTTACATAAAATTATAAATTAGATCAACATAGTCACAGATAATCATACTAAAGACAAATTTGGTCATAGATAACACATGTCAGTAATTTGGTTACATACACAAATTAGACTGAGCTGGTCCCACCCAATCACATTGAAGATAAAATTGGTCATAGATAACACTTCTGTTCATAAATAATAAATTTGATCACAGATAACACAATTAGTTACAAATCTAATCACCTACAATGTACCACTACTGAATTACATAGTATCCAAAATGTTGCTATCAGCTGACCACCACCGCTACTATACATATTAACTCCAATGCACTATCATCACCTGCAATGCACCATCACCTTCATCACGCAGATTTATTTCCTTAACATAGTTGAGATCTCATCACTGTTGCCATTACCTGCAAAGCTATTTGTATTTGTAAATATGTGTGTGTGTGTGTGTGTGTAGAGAGAGAGAGAGAGAGATTTTGAATTTATGAAGGTGGAGATGTTCCCTGGAAAGTTCATTAAAATTGGGTTGGACTGCGTAGGGTTTGGTGGAGAATATAATTTATGCCAATGGTATATATGTATAAATTATAATATATAAAGAGAAATAAATATAATGGATATATATATTATTATATATCATTAATTGGAATTGCCATATGATCTAAGAAAGTATTTTGTAAGATTGTTAGAGGTGAAATGTGATTCTTATAGTGTAGTAGCTGCGTACTGTTTCCAAAATTATATTAAACGTAAACTTAAAAAATTTCCTTATCTTTTAACCACACATATAAAAAATCACAATTTTAAAATACAATTTCTCCCAAAATCACATTAAATTTGAGCTCAATGTCATGTCATTTATTTCTACATGAATCTGTAAATAATTATATACATATAGTATTAATAAGCCTAGCCTATTACACAAAAATGCATTTTTAAACTCATTTTTCATCACACGTTATTCCAATAAATAATTTTAAATATGTAAACTTAAAACATTTTCATATTTTTTAAACACACACATTCTTCAAAACATCATTATTACAAAACTCATTCTTAAATAAAAAATAAATAAAATAGGGCCCAAACATGACCATAATGAATATTGGCTGCGTACCTTATTAGTCATGTAAACGTTTGCATTGTGGGTAGTAAATTTTACATTAAAACCTCATTAAGCTCCTGTTTAATGGTTATTATTGAGAAAAAAATAAAATTTTGAATAGTAATTTAAAAAAAAACGCGTGATCAAAAAGAAGGGAAAAGTATGTGATTGAAAACGGGTATGAGAATTAAAGAAATTTATTTTAAATGAAAATAAATAGGGACTAAATAAATTTAACAAATTTATAAATTGTTTATAAAGAAAAATAGTGATAAATTATGCAAATTTTATGGATAATAAATAAATAATAATTATGAGTGTGGTTAAAATTAGCCTCTATTGGTAGGAATTAAAATTCAAGTTTTAATATAACTTAAAATCAACAATTAATTTTAACTACATATTTCATAAGACTCACAAATTTTCAACCGTATATTTCATCAACCTTTATAAAAATTTGCTAAAAATCTGATTTTAATCCCCACCAAATAGGGGTTAGTATTTAATTTGGTCTAAATTCCTTTTATTTTTTTATTTTTTATTTATAAATTGGTTGCTAAATGAAGGCTTAGTAACCTCACTTAAATAATAAAATTTTCACTCCAGACTCGAATCAATATATTGAATTAAATAATTTTACTTAAAATTCAAGATAAATTACTTTCTTATTTATAAAAACTAAACCTTCATCTTCACCATCTTGCTCATAGACTATTCTATCCATTCGTATATAAATTACATAATTTCTCAATATATTCACTTATTAAGAATTGAGTCGAATAATAAAGACGAGAATAATATAAGTAATATGAAAATAATGGATTACAAAGAAAACAAAATTTATGTAGAAGAGTATGAGAATTTCATATATCAAGAAACTAAAATTGTGTTTTCAAGATTTAATTCTCTCAATCTAAATCTAAAAACAATTCTGTCAAGTTTCTAATAGATACAACAATGATCTGATTATTATGTTGAGTTTATAAAGAGCACAAAAAACGCGGTAGAAATCAACAAGAAAACCTTTCCTTCTTGTCAGGTGGCGCCTACCCAATGCATCTATTTGCGCTTAGACGCTCTTTCTCTATCTCAATACTTCCAAAACACTTTTTCATCCATTCTAATGTCATTTCCTAATCAACTCTCAATCCATGATGAAATTTGGTCTTTAATCAATCCGAACTTCTAAACCAAAATTATCTAGGCTTCCTCCATGAATCAAACATCCAAATCACGTGGAATTTGAGTCACAACCTAACAAATCCCTCAACACAAATTCCATAGCAAGGAATTGCGTCTTCAGTCTTCAAGTAATTCTCCAACTCTTCCACCATGTCCCTTTTTAGTATACCATGCCCCTGTCACGCATACTTAGCAACTGTGAACTAAATTCAAGTCCTACTTACCAGCAGAACTACCTTACATACCATTCTTACTTAAATCATCCCGTTCACTTTAAGCTCCAGCTAAGTCAAACAACTTGCTTTAATAACTACGAGCAACATCAACTCTACTTGAGTTGCCAAACATGCTCGAATCACTACGAACACCATGATCAAAAAAGTCACAACCAGCTTCACCTGAGCTACAGGAAGATTCCCTAATATTATTCTTTGAATAACCACGAACAATCCAGTCACAACCAACTCTATTCGAGTCATTGCTTATTGATCTATAAGCTATAGTTATATCTACAGTAACCGCTAAACCTTCTAACATATATAATCGGGACTTTCTCCTTACTTTAACACAACCCTGGCACTCCTTTTCACTTTCAAAACTCCACATCCACTGGAATACATGTGCCCTTTTGAATCAAGAGTACTTAAAGAGATTAAATTACTGTTTATACCTGAAACATGTCGAATCTGACCAAGTGCTCTAACCATCTCATCAAACATCTTGATTTTGACATTATCAATCCTAACTATTATACAAGATTTGTTATTTTCCATCATCACGGAACCCCTTGTAATTGTTTCATATGAAAAAAACTAGTCCAAGTTTGAACACATATGCAAGGTGCAAGTTGAATCAAGAATCCAATCTTTGCCAGATTTGGAGTCACCATTAGTACTTGATAAAAGATCACCATCACTGTCTTCTCTGCAAAATTGACATTATCAAATTTTTGTTGTTGTTCCTTTTAATCTATAGTAGAAGACTTGTTCTACCACTCATAGCAATCCTTTTTCACGTGCCCATTGTTGTTACAATATCAACAGACTTTATTAATGTTTCTATCGTTGACTCTACCCCTTCCATTACCACCCATCTTCCTCTCACGAATAACAAGACCCTTAGAATCGACGACTAGATGCTTCATCTTCTTAGAATAAAGAGCAACATATACCTCATCAATAGTAAGAATATCTCGACTATAGAAAATTGTATCTCTAAAAGTCACATATGAAGGCGACAATGAACATAATAATATCAGCCATGATTCTTCTTCATCATACTTGACTTCCATGGTCTCTAAGTCAGCAACGATTTTCTTGAACACTGATACATAATCTTCCAAAGATCCACCTTTCTTCAACGATGAGAATACAAGCGCCACTTCAAGTGTAACTTATTGGACAATTTTTTTGTCATATAACGCTGCTCCAATTTCAACCACAACCCAGAGGCACTTTTCTCCTTTACCATGTCTTGAAAATTTTGATTGG